TCCAAGCGAGATGGTGACGGCTGACACAGTTTGTGTGTTTAAAAGAAAACTTGCTCGTCTAGTTTTCGACAGAAATCGGCTTGTACAGCATGACTATGCACAGCCAGTTTTGTAAAATCTGTCATATACAATCTTCGCACTAATTTACAGTGACCCAATGCACTACTTTATGATTACGATTGAACTGTGACCCAATCACATTTTAAATTCCTGTAATTTTATTTTATTTTTGAGTATGGATCTGCGAAAGCACTGTACATAAATAGGGTCATCAAGGGCTCTGCCTGTAACCCTTAAATATATACATATACATGTAAGGAGGCTGCCATCTGAATGGAGGACAGCAAATATCTTTCCGACATACTAGGGTTGAGCTCGCAGTAGTGCTAACAAATACTGGCCGCTTGTCTCGCCTCCATATACTATAAAATAATGGAAACCATAGTTAAGAAAGCAACAATGGAGTTCCTGGAGCAGAACCACTCACTCTCAGCGCTGCAGCACGGCTTCACACAGAACCGCTCGTGCCTTTCTAGTTTATTGCTCCCGACCGAGCAGTGGACTCGCGCGCTGGGTGGAGATGACCGAGTCGATGTTATTTACACGAACTTCAAGAAGGCGTTCAACATCGTCCCACACAAACGCCTAATCTACAAACTCTCCGAAATTGGGAAAAGCGTAAAGCTGCTGACGCGGATCGCAGATTTCCGTACAGGCGGATCGCAAATCGTGTACATTGATGGCTCAAAGACAACCGCCACCTCCGTTTAAAGTGGTGTCCTCCGAGCCCAGTCTTAGGGTCGTCGCTATGCCTAGTCCACATCAACGATTTTGTTGATAACCTGGGTTGCAGCGCCGTCGTGTCTGCTAGCGACGTTAAGCTCTGGAACAACATCAGATTTGACGCAGACAAGTACGCGCTTCAAGAGGGTCTCAACCGGCTAAGCAGTTGGTCAGCTCATTAACTCCTCAATTATAATGTTTACAAATGTGTGGTCCTGAAACTCCGCACCAAGAGGACCAGTAATTAGGATGATTCTTTTCAATACCTCTTGGGCGGGCGGCCTATCGCAAGTTTTGAGGAACTGAAAGACCTCGGCGTCCTAATGACCTCCTCCCTTAAAGCGTGGCCACGGTGTCAAAAGGCAGCCAAACGCGCGATGTGGGTGTTATTGGTTTCTGAGACGAGTATTTGCGCAAATTGATCAGGAGCTGTTCGGAAATACCTACAAGGCATTCGTTCGGTCTCACTTAGAGTATGCAGGTCAGACCTGGCGACCGTGTCTCAAGAAGGATTATCAACCGCTGGAAAGGGTACGGGCGGTGGCTGCGAAGACGGTCGAGAATCTGGATCATCTGCCTTGCGCAGCCAAATTGGCTGAGCTTAGTCTGTTTCCTCCCAATTTCAGTCAACTGCGCGGCGACCTCATTCAAACATAGCGTATTGTCAGAGGCCATCGGTGTGCCCTAGACTTTGGCGAATTCTTCGAATTGGCTGGGACGAACCGTCTACATGGTCATCCCTTTAAACTGCAGAGGAAACTGCGCCATACGGACGTCCGACGGAACGCCTTCTCGCAGAGGCCTATTGGAGCACGGAACGGACTCTCTGATGCAGTGGTTCTTTCGAAACTGTTAAGTGTTTTAAGTGTAGACTAGACACTCATTTGTTGGGAATCTGCTGTACATATAATCGCGATTATGTTAGAGGCGGCAGTTTGCGCCTGGCCCACACTTACCGTTAGCTTTAGCATTTCCAGATTTATTGATCAGTCCTTTTCAGTCAGTATATTTGGAGTAAACGACAGAGGCCCTGAAAACTCCATTTAGAGGGTACAGATATAAGGGAAAATAGTTAAATTGCAAAGCTTTTGCTTGTAGTTTTTGTAAGGAGAATGCCTAAATCTAATGATGTAACATAAAGGCGAAAAGGGTATTATATTCGCGAAATAATTGCGAAAAACTTTGTTCACCGCATTGATGTCACGATTGACCTTGTTGCTGTTTATCGATATGAATATAGAGCTCAAGGGCGAAAGCCTCATTCTGTTAATAAACTGACCTAAACTGAACTGACCTTAACTGACACAAATTCTACAGCGATGGGCCGAGGACTTCAAGGACGTCCTCAACCGTTCCTCCACCATCTCCGACGCCACTATCGCCAGTCTGCCTCAAATGGAGACCAATGCCTACCTCGAGCTCCCGCCTTTTCTCCACAAAACCATCAGGGCATTGCAGCAGCTCTCCAGCGGGAAAGTGTCCGCATGGGACTCAATCCCTGCTGATATCTACAAGCACGGTTACCCCCAACTCATGAATTATCTGACGATGCTTTTCCAGGGGATGTGACGTCCAGGAGAGGTCCCGCAGTAATTCATGGACGCAACAGCAGTGCATCACTATAAGCGAAAAGGTAACCATCAGCTCCGCGGCAACCTTCGACACATTTCGCTGCTGAACATGACTGGGAAGATTTTCTACTGCCTCCTCGTCAACCGCCTGAACAACCATCTGGAAGATTGTCTTCCGACGTCATCGTGGGACCACCAACATGATCTTTGCCACCCGCCGTCTGCGGGAGATGTGTCCGGAAATACGAACCCACATCTCCTCTACCTTTATTGATCTGACGAAAGCCTTCGACACGGACTGTGGAAAATCATGCAGAAATTCGACTGTCCCAAGCGATTTACTTAGATGGTGATTCAGCTCCACGATGACGTGATGACGCAAGTAACGGACAATGGAGCTGCCTCAGAAGTATTCGCAGTGACCAACGGAATGAAACAGGGCTGCGTCCTCGCGCATATCATTTTCAGTCTCATGTTTCCAGACATGCTGATGGACGCTTACCATGACGAAAATCCCGAGATCCACTGCGCTTACAGGACGGACGACCACCTCCTAAATCAGCGGCGAATGCACTTCCAGTTACTTGTATCCATAACCACCGTCCACAAACTTCTCTTCTCAGACAACTGCGCCCACAACGCCACCTCGGAACATGCAAAGGAACATGGATCCCTTCTCTGATGTATGCGAGTACTTCGGCCTGATTATCAACATGGAGAAGACTGTACTCATACACTAACCGCCACCCAACAAGGCAGCTATCCTGCCGACGTCGCTGTATGTAGCGGAGACCTGGACGGTGAACAAGAAGCAGGTGCGAAGGCTCAGTCATTTCCATCTCAGCTGTCTTCGACGGATACTGAATTGGAGATGGCAGGATCGGGTCCTGGACACGGATGTACTGGATTGGACGGGAATCGTCAACATCTACGCCATGTTGAGACAACTCCAACTGCGTTAGAGCGGCACCTCGTGCGGATGAACGATGAGCGGCTTCTCAAACGTCTCTTCTACGGAGATGTCAACACGAGTTCCTGGCGTCAAGGAGGTCAAGTCCGCCACTCCAAGGATACTTTGAAGACTTCCCGGAAGCGTCTGCAGGTAAAATCGGTCGACTGGAGAGATCTGGTCCGGGACCATAGGACCTGGAGGAGGACAATGAAGGCAGGCGCAGCGATCTATGAAGCCAACCGCATCATTGCCGCCAAAGCCGAACGCGAGGCTCAAAATTCTCAACTGCGCATACCCCCTAACGCCAACTTTTAACCGCTCCAGATCTGCACAGGCTGCCCGCGGGCGTCTCGGACACCAATCGGCCTTGCAGGACGTCTTCGTGCCAACTGCAGAATCCGGACAACGTCAGCTGCTGTCCTTACGCCCAGATATGCCTCATCGTGAACCCCGACAACTAATGGTATCCTTCCTCTACCTATGGATTTCCATCGTGATCTTCCTAAATGTGATCAGGCATAAATCTTTCGTCGTCTTCCTGTTAACATTTCCGCAAAGCCAACAGTAAAACGTCTCTTTTTTACGATGTAAATATTAACAAGGAATTAGTAAACAGCTTTACAAGCACTCTTGACTGGCATTATTTTTTAAATTATGAATTAACTTATATCTATGATTTATTCCAGTGCGTAACAGAAGGTCTTTTTGATCTCATTCTACGAAAGTTGTTTAAATCGAGTGCCACTTCGTCCAGTGCCTCACATCTTCTTTAAAACAGACTTAAAAAGCTACAGAAGCAGCTTAAAGATCCTGCCGTGAGATCACTATCACTTCACCTAAGAATCGCTGAAATATCGGATTTTACTTCAGACAGGGAGCTCAGGCGAGATAGGCGCAGAGAGTTTTTAGTAATTAGTGATACAAACCCTCCTACATCTGTTGATCAGGTCTTCTTTCAAAGAACGCCAGCTAAGTTCAATCAAATCATCCCGCCTTTGCTTATTCGCAGCAATACCTTCATCAGAGAGGAGTCAGAAAATCAGGAATGCTGAATTTATACTTCGCCAAATATTTTGTCATTGCAACTGACCTAATCCTTTTAATTCCTTCATTGTCTGGTGCCTCCCTCACCACCATTAATTTTGCTCCTGCAGCTATTCTGAAACTGATAAATCAGCTTACTAACTCGCACTCGGTAGGAACTGACAACATCACGAAGTCTCTTATAAAACAGATAAGAGATTTTCCTCCGCTGCTTAGCAAATTCTTTTCAGTCCTCGAAAATGGTTTCTTTCCTGACCATTGGAAAACCTCTATTATTATTGCAGTATTTAAGTCTGGCTGCAGTTCTGATGTTTAAAACCACCCAGGTGTCCATTAAACACCTTTCGACAAAATCATTGAAGCAATTACTGTCAGGAAAATTACGGACGTTTGAATAACCACTTAAGTTACTGGCCCTTTCAAATAAGACTTTTCGTCCTAGTGCTCTTGGGAAATATTTTATATGTCGTTTCTCAACCTACTTCTCTTTCTAGTGATCATTTATCTGTGTTCGTCATTTATTTTGACCTTAGTAAGGCCTTTAAAAAGTGGCTCATAGAAGACTCTTAGTTAAATTAGAAGCTCTGGGACTTCGCGGTCGCCTTATTGACTTTATGAAGTCGTACCTATCTGATCATAAACAAAAGGTTTTACTGGGATCTTCATTTTCCAATGAGAGCCCTATTGTAAATGGTGACCTACAAGGTACCCCTTTAGGTCCTCTTTTGTTCCTGCCTTGCATAAATGATATCTCGTCGGCGGTTGAACATTCTCAATCATTTATTTATGCCGATGATCCCAAATGTGTATATTCTTTCAATAAATCTGCCAGCTTTCATCGTTTGCAGCAAATCCACGCTGACTTGCTTGCTCTCAACTTTGAGCTCAAAATGCCTAATGGAATTCTCTTCATTTAAATGTCACTATATGTGCTTCGGACCTGATAGGCTACCCCAACCAGTGGTCTTTCAAGGCATAACTATGACTGAATGTACCACCATCAAGGACTTAGTTTTGAGCTTTACCAATAACCTTGGTCTCTTGTTACACTCTGACAGAATTACGGCCAAAGCTACCCAGATTTATGACATTATTTCTTACGACTTCCATCCTTCCAAAATTAAATCAAGAAACTATCGAATGTTTATATTTCCCATTCTAGAGTATTGTTGCCCATTCTTTGGTTTGATGAACGAGGCTAGTAGTTTAAAAATTGAAAATGCTCAAAGACATTTTGCTAAAAGATTCCTAGGTACGGAAAATCCAAGAATTTCCTACTCAGGTAGACGCCAGCTAACCAACCGCTAGGCCCTGACTATGTTGCAGCCGAGTAGGGTAGCGCGGATCGGGGCTTGTAGACGTCGAATGCTGGGGCTGTGAGTTTTGGTTCCGCCGGACGGGATGCTGAGGATATTTTATCTAAAAGTTGCGTTGTCTCTTCATGCGCACTAGCTTGGGACATGGGCGGCTTAAACACAATAATAGATAAGCGAAAAGGTAGGCAATGATTTATTTCCAGAAAGTAAATAAAATAGAGGTGGAAACAAGACTCTTGCAGTTTTAAATTCTGCTAGTAGGGAACGGAATAGGCAAATATTGATAAATTGGTGAAATTTTGGTGAGTCGATAAAATAGTATGGGGAACGTTTCTCTAAGTGAGCTAAGCGTAGTGACACGAAAAAGGAAATAGAAATGCTCAAAATGTAGGATCGAGGAATAAGATGAATAACAATGGATGACTTAGCGGGAGGCCGCGGCAGAAACCGACAGCCCGAGACGAGTGATCAGCGGAAGCAATTTGCGGACTGTTTTCGCCGGCTATCAGGCAATTGGTTGAACATTTTCACACGAGGCGCAATAACTTTTATGCCTCATTTTGAGTTAAAATTTTGCGAAATTATGTTTGAGTGATACTCCCCGTAACTGAGTGATCCGGAGGTTGCCAGTACGAACCTCGGTCATGTAATAAGTATGAAAGGTAAGTGCATTACTAGGCAACCGACTACTATGACAAGGCGAGATGTACCCACATGCTTTCTGATGTGGTTCAGAGAAAGATTGAAAGAATTACAGCAACGTTCTTTAGAGTGGACTTCATCCATGAATTTTTACCCATCGAAAAGGTTGAAGCGGCAAGAATTTTTAAGGAGAATGACTTCCTGGACTTTCGCAGGTTAAGTTGACGCTCTCAAAAACGTTGGCTTGTCTACTACCCCGTAACACATACGTTGTAGGGCTAAAACAAACACTGAAGTTGCGGGCATGTTTTAAGTGTCCGATGCAAAAACGGCTTATGTAATGGCTACGAAGAGCTGATTTTCAGGTTGAAAGAATACCAGAAGGTAGGTTAGGGTATACTTACCGGTCTTGGAAACTTCAGGTAGCTTGCCCAACCTTTGGATTATTCATGGCTTTTCGCTTCCGGCGGACCGTCCGAAAATGTCAGCCAGTTAGATATGACAGTAAGATTGTGCCTGTCATTTGATCTGCTTAACTGGTGGACTGTACGGCAAACGGTCGATATTAGCGATAGCCTGCTGAAAACTTCCCAAATGAAAGACAATTTGCTATCATATTTTCATTTTGATTATCATATTCCTTTACTTTTTAGCATGCTGTACTATGCCATTTGTTTGTTCTAAATAAGAAAATAAATAAAACTATTTTATTAACGACCTGTCAAAGTCCCATAAAAGCAAGTAAAAATAAACTTTCATATGAATTTTAGACGAGGTAGGCAGAATCTTTACAAAATGCAATTCATAATTTCTGAATTTGTGGTCTATTAAAAAATGATGAGCGAGCAGAGAGAAAACTCCACTATAGAATTTAGAAAAGGGTTGGATTAACTTTAAAGGAGAAGTACACTGTCGTTCAAGAAAGGACAAAGACGCGGGCACGGCCGGCATGAATGTGGCGGTGTATGACGGATTATAAAGGGACATCTCCAGAGCAAAAATAAATGTCAGCCTTGAAAGAATGAAAATGTAATCCAAAAAGATGTAGTCTGAGGTGGGAAGAGCTTTCTGTTCACGGCGACAAGGGTATTCTACGGCTCTGAGCCCATTGAATCTGAGTTGTTGCTTAACTCAGCTTATTACCCTTATGCCAGACAAGCCGTTACTTCTGTAACAAAGGAGTGAATATTTTAGGCGCGCTTCCATCACTTCAGCTGCAATTTGCGAGGTTGCCGTCAACCAACTTCCTAGCTGACCTTTAAGGCACAATCCCCTTTACAGTAAATGCAGTAAAGTTCTACGGAAACCAGTGGAAAATTTACAGGAAACGACCCAATGGTTTATGGTAATACGTGGCACGTGTAGAAGTTGATCACATTGGAGATGGAAATATGGTGACATTGACGAAGCTCACAGGATTTGAAGGACATAATAATATCGATTACACAAACAAAATGAAAACGGTCAAAACTGCGACAGGCGTCACAGAATGCCCTTTTCATTATCGCTGAAAAACTCTTTGTAATATTGGAATCGGCGTTCAAGTTTAGCTGGATACAAGATACAAGAAGAACTATGGAGAGTCCCGAAGCACCAAGGGGACACGGGTGATTTTCGTATCCTGTCCACTGTAAATGTGTCAGAAAACTGGGACTAGATTCTGCCATATTCCGTGACTTTCCTGAAACATTTGAGCCAACTACTGAGCCGATGAATATCTTACAAACATCTAAAGCATGCAGCCAGAAACCAAAGTGTCTGCGACCTTTTATCCGCCCACAACTGTGCACCGAATAGCGTTACAAAAGCCAGAATGAAGTTCAGGGTATAATTCCTCGCGTGATCAATATATAACTATTCAGGGTCTAACATAACTGTCAGCAGAAAAGGGAAATTTTACAAAACGACAAAAAATGAAAAAAAACAGTAAGAAATATAACATACTAGTACTCATTACAAGAGCATTAATGCTTTTCCAGAAGGAAAGTCTGTGATCAATATATTTTTGAGCAAACAAAAAGCGTTCTCTTATAAGTTTTCTATCTAAAAATGGCCTAATGTCCGGCGAATAAAATCGTCGTCTTGCTTGCTTGTGGACCGTTTTGGCCAACCTTGCTTAGTTCTAGGCATTGTTTTATCACTAATAATTCCCCAGAGAGTGACCTGGCTAATGTTGAAAATACTAGATTAAGACTCACAGAGCAGCCCTTCGGCTGGCAATTTTCGTATCCGCTCAAAGTCAACTTCCGATAGGAACTGTTTTGACATCTTTGCTGCACGGCGTGGCGAAGAAAAATGGCAGCATGTATCGCG